CCCTATATGCAGGCTATCTACCCTTACCGCCAACTCAGGTGTCGGTCAGGAGATTCACCCTGCGGCAGTGCTTTTGCCGTATTGCCGCCATCAGTGTGACTAACCTTGCTGCTCCGCGTAGATATAGAAATTTTGTGATACTGCCATTGTTTTGTTTCACAGTATCGTCGTTGATAAGTTCAATGCTCGGAGTCGAAGGGATTCTGACGGGCAGCTCCGAAACGAGGAACGAGTTTTCGCCCTTGGTAAAGAGTAGAGGAATAGCAAGAATGACGAGCGTCAACAGCTCATGCATTTCCTAAAAATTTGATCGGATTACATTTTATCAATAATCACTTTGGAAGAACGTGTGGTACAATCTTGAAAACGTAATATCTTCTTTTCGAAAAAAACGACTTCCAAAAAGGACCTGCTTGAGACCACGATGCCCGTTTATCTTTATCTGAGATCTTCATAGGTTAGCCAACCCTTAACGGCTGACCAATCCATCGCTGCAGAGTTCGGCAAACATTACCAGACTTGTCAAATGAGCACGAAAGCTGTATGGGCCAAATCCCAGTGAACTTCAACTGGTGTATTTATATAACCATTTTACAGAAAAGCCAACCTCATGCCTTTCAAAAGTAAGAAGCTCCTATTTCAGGGGCGCTGTTTGTCTTACGGAAGGAGTACATTTAACCTATTCGCCAGTTTCTTCAGTTTCCTGAGCTTCGCGAAATCTGTGAACCCTTGTGAATTTGCGAAATGGTGGGTTTTGCTCCCTCCAGGAGAGTGTCGCTTCCCAGTGCATCTTTGCGTCATTAGATGCAAACTGTATTAGGAGTGAAGCACTGGCTATGAATTATTAGCATGCACAACTGCCACCAGCGGTCCTGAACAGGCAACTGATCAATAAATGATCAAAATTAGATTCCCTATAGAGAGAGACACGTGGACATCGGGTCCCATGGAACTTCTATGAATTTGAGCCGGCAGGCCACAAATGTTCGGAAAGCGCGGAGGTACTGCTCAGAAGCGGCGCATCTCCAGATGCTGCTTTTGTACGATTCTGCTGCTTAGTAAAAAAAGGTATGTCACATTTAAACGACGGGAGCTCTCAGATTTTCGGCGAACAAGGGCCTTATTCGTCCAATTTCTCTACAAAGACTACCATGAATCTCGGTTGCTATCCAGAATACAATGCAAAAGGCAAATACGCATTCAGATGGTAATTTTAGAGTTTTCGTGAGACAGCGCGGTTTGTATGTAGGTGAAACCGTCACTGACCACTGAACGTTTCATCAAAGCGGGAACGTCCCTCAGCAACCTTGCCATGACTCTGCGATACGGGGTTAATCGAGAAAAGGAACAGAGCCAGGGCACATCGTTGTTGAGGATTCCCCAACGGGGGGGGTGGGGAGCGTCGTATTTGGTAGCTTGGGAGGAGGTCATACTAGGGCTGGGAAAAATTTCCTTTGATAGTTGATTTTTCTTGTTTCAAGGACATTAAGGAGGGGTCGGTAATTTGTTCGCAGTTTGGTGAGTGAGGGCCTATTCGCGTTCCCAGCTCCATAAAGAAGGAGTGGGGGTCGTACGGACTCGACCAAAATCTCCAACCAATGATGTGCCCTGAATAGAGCGCACATGAATATTTTCTCAGCCCAAGCTAGGGTTATAGAGCCTTCGGTAGATGGATTGCGATATGAAACTCTTCGAGGCATTTCAAAGGCAGTTTGGACAAAACCTTTTGCTGTGAACAGTACCATCTAACCTATTACGGCATGGGAGACATCCAAACAACTTCATGACGAAACTTCGAGCAGGCAAAAGGCAGCAGGAATCACATAGAAATTCATCGTGGAAGTACTAGACCGATGTACGTGATAGGGAGTTGTGAGATATCATTGATAACTAAATCGGTCACTAAGCAGTAGGTTTCATTTTTCTCACTTTTCTACTCATGGTGGGTGACCTTTTGAAATGCCTCGCTCTTCCCCAGCAATGCATTTTTCACTGACAGGCGCAAAATGGTAAGGTCGATGGTGCGCAATCAGACGACACGGGTACGATGGGCACCTCGGGTGCAGTCCGCACCGCTGAATTGCCAATCATCGAAACTTACGACGATTTCATGAAATGTCGTATCACTGGCGATATGCCCGACGAGGATCTCACTTGCAACCCAAGTTAAGTTGCTTTACGTCTCCAAACATGTTACCGCGGACATGAAGTCCCATTTCTTACCTCATGCCTTGACTCTCATTCGTAGTTAATCAACGTCATATATTGCAAAAGTAGGATGTCGGAGGATTGGCTAATGGCCGCACTGGGAATATCGGGGATACCACGAAAAACGTACGTAGCGACCTGGGGATTGGCGACTCACTGTTTCTCCAAATGGAACGTATTTAATCTTTTCCGCAGCAGATGGTCAAGACAATCGTAGTTGCCGCGTCATCGCGCGCGGTAAACTACGATTGCCGCAGTGGCCATCAATTCGTCGATTATGTTAGCGGAGCTTGGTTCATTCGAGCGGAGGCAAACTCCATGCCGTAAGATATCAAGCTTTCCGGTCCCTTTGAGATCCAAACTCAGACTGTCGGGCAGGACAACTCGTCTCGCGTGCGCGGCGTCGCTCCCCATGCCCATCGCGGCATAACACGATTATCTTGACACATACCCATTTTCAGGTGGTTGATTTTTAACTCACCCAATGCTTACAAAAAACCATGCTATGGAGATGTCACTGTTACTAATCGAAATCCATACTCAGTAGCCTGGTGCTTCAAATCTAAGGTGAGATCTGTTGAAAGTTCCATGTCCATCCATCAGTTGCATGTCGCGTTGAAAGTTGAGAAGCTGTAGCAACTATACACAAGATAATAGAGCCTAGATTCAGACATAGCTGCCACCAATGGAAATGCTCACTTACACAGTCGCCCATGGAGTTTGCGCCTTGTCAGCGGTTCATCCCATCGCTTGGATTAGATCTTGGAGGAGATCTTGGAGATCTCTTGGACCAGAGCGGCTACTAATTGGTCCATGAGATCTGAAACAACACCTGTTACGACCACCTACGGCGATGGTCCAGACTTTCCTCGTGAAAGCGTCTGACGAAACCTGATGAAGTTCATTGGTGTCCATCAGAAAGAACTCACTAAAGCAACACTCGCGCTTCGCAAGAGAGCTCAATGGAGGGTTCTTGGCAACGGCGCCCGAGGCAACTCATGGAAGCAAAGGTGGCGCTGGTACACAGAAGTCGATCCGTTCTCATCTTTTCGTGACAATAGTCATGAAATCACTACGAATATTATAACTGGACCCGTGTCTGGAAGTGGACGGAGGCTCCCGAGTGGGACCGTTGCTATACTCTCTATATTCTATACTCTCGCTGCACCCAAGGAGGCCACCTGAAATCGAGTACAATAAAGGGAATCCGTAGTTCTAAACCCGGTCAATCATCGAAACTTGAGGGCGCTGCGCGGAATGCAAAGACCAAGTGGACATGACATAGCAAGCGCAAGCGATTTTCAAGGGTTTCTGGAACACATTGATCATGCAGTAGTCTAGACCTTAAGCTAACACTAGAACGATCGCCAATCAGACCTTTTTATTTGAGAGTTTGTGCGAATACGAGGAACTGAAAGGCTTTTGTGTCCAGAGCTATTATAGGAGATATCTACTGCACGAAGCTTTGGCTCACACTCGGATATCCGCATCCGTAAGTGCGAGGCCAAGTGGGGATGCGCTGGAACCCACTCGGAAAGTCTATGACTGACTGGGTGAGATGGCACCGGTGATGTCAGAGAAACGTAGTGGAAACCGCGAGGCAAGATTGCGCTTTACATTTATCACCACGTTTGGACTGGCGATGAATATAGCATCAGCGCCCCAGAGCTTGGATACGGCCCGACCTGGGATAATATTGGGATACTTCGAAAAGGTCTGAATAGGCCACTCGTGACCAGTGAGGTTTGAGTACACATGTCATGGTGCTGATTGACTCAGCGGTAGGAGAGAAGCGAAACAAAACTTCGAAGAAGCACCCTATGATCACTGCTGATTACATGTGCGTAATGCGAAAAGACCCTCTGATGAACGTAATCAAGAGGGGGGGGGGCAGCCGATTGCATAACTTGCGAGCGCTTTCCACCGCTATATTGCGATGGTGAGAAGAAATGATAAAGATGGAAAGTGGTAGCGAGGGCGGAGACTGCTTATCGTTGCAGAGCTGTAGTGATCTTCTGCGCAATTTCGAATCGCTCAAGTGGTACACCTTCTGCGACTGCGGACTCTACCACCTTGAGCAAGAAGAGGCTTCTGCATGTTGGTTGGTTGGGACACTGCGCAAGGAGGATAAGGTCTGAATGGGAAGGAGCAAAATAAAGCAGCACGCAAATGATGATCAAAAATTCACTCGCTTATAGGAAAAAATGGTACGGATTCCCCAGGCGTATGGAATTTTGAAAGGCGGCGAACATATGGAAGTGACGGTAGGCAGCGTTCTGCAGTTTCTGTTTTTCTCTGCCGTCATAAATACTGAAGAGGAGCTACTGGACTTTCAGCTTTACTTGATATCATCGGATGACTGGCCTCGAGATGTGATCGAGTACACCGGTAGACGTCATAGAATTGTAGCAGAATGCCTTAAAATTCCGGATTACATTCGCCCGAAAAATGAATGGGTGTGTCACTCGAACTATGTCTAGTCTTCAGATAGTTCCCTCTTCATTCGTCACATAACTTCAGGAAGCCGCACGCATTGCACGGGAAATTTTTCATTACTCGTCCATGTTCAATCCACTTCAACGTATGTACACGAAGATTAGCATAGTTCTCGAATGAAATGTTTCTAAAAAAACATCACAAAACTGCTATTCGATAAAAAATAAACGTTCATATGTGAACAACAGCTCATACTTTCAATAAGAAATGACGATAAACGAGAATGAAAGGCAGAGCAGACTTCAAATGCTTCTTCACTATAAGGATGTATGCAGAAACTTTTCTGAGGCAAAGGTTTTTTTTCAAATTTTTTGTTCCACCATAATTAGCTGTGTGGGGGTTTTGTCACCGCCATCGCTACTGCAGTAAATCTTTCAAAATGCATAAGATGGCAAAACCTCGTGCAATGCCATTTGCGATAGTCGCGGGTACGAGGATAGGCTGCAACAAAAGACATCCAAATTCCTTCGGGTTCCACTAAGACTTAACAGAAAACCATCGAACCAAAAGATCAGGGACACATGGGTTATCTGAAAGTCCGAGAAAATCGTACGTTACGAGAACAATTAGGTTTCTTCAACATTATTCGCGCATCTATTCCAGAGGATATAGACGTTGGCAGGTGTGTTACAGGTCAAGGTCCAGCTTAGTGGGGAACTAAATGGTGCTCAGTCGCGAATGTTTGCCACCCTGTAGAGACTGTTAAGTTCTGTGACAGAAGAGGTTCACTCGCTCCTTACTTCGTAGGCGTAACGTTTAGCCAGCATGAACTAACAAAAGAAACCAGCGAATGTGCTAAGTCATATCACTGTCTGAGCCGAGCAGCACCAGCACCCAGGCCAGAGTAAGACACACACCTGTCTTCAAAACTCTTCTTCCTTTGTGAGCAGGGGATCTTTACAGTGAAATCCATTGGCAGAGAGAAACCCGGAAAGTTTTTCGCGGAGACCCAGTTTCCAGCCCATTTGGCAGTAAAGATGGCGCTCATGGCGACGTGCCGTTGGTCTCCGTCCGTTCCGACGCGGATACGCAACGGACATCTTCGTAGACGTGTTGTTGTCTTGGTCCAAGTCCAGCTTTGGGCTACGTTACAGGGCACCCCATCGCTGCTGATTCCCCTCCTAGCGTACTGGATTGCTGGATGGGTGGTTGGGGGGGGGGGGGGTGTCGTAAGCAGAAATTCAGGGCGGACAATGAAAAGGTATCGGCATGGCTGAGTTGTGGGAAGCGCGACTTGCGATTTCGGGCACCCGGATATAGGGAGCACATTTCAAAGTGTTAGAACAATCAACAATGGTTCTTACAAGTGGAAGTCGCATACATGGCGCACCGTCAAGGTCAACTTTATTCTTCGCACTTTTATTTCATGCATTTTAACCGTTATACATCCAAGTGACACATTTTATTAAACTCACATGCAACGTACCATAGAAGTAGTCTTCAGCATAGTTGACATAGTACAATCAATAAATATTAACCAATTATAATCATTAAATTCAGCTATCAATGTCCTTATTATAGGTAACACCATCCTTATTATAGATACCAATCCTTATTATAGATGAATATCATAAATAATATCGAAATAACATATTAATTATTACAGTGCCAGACTTTAAAGCCAATACAAATAATACAAGCATGTCCTGTATAATTCTAGATACTATAACTCAGATATTACTTCGATCAAGACGGAAAATCAAGAATTTTAGAAAAGAAAGCCCCTATCGCTTTGATCCCATATTTTCGTGAGCAAAGTACTGTTCTTCTCGCAGACAGAATAGAACTCTAGTCCGCAGTAATAGAAGTAAGAATAGGATTTGTAGGTAGTATGGAAGCGAGCGACACAATTGGCACCACTATTCCAGCCGTTCGATGACGAGTCCCCAGGCGGCACTAACCAGTCGCTAAAAAAGCAATATGGAGGGCTGGCCCGAGTAATCAAACTATGAGAATAAACTTACATATGGCGCGGATTCATACCACCGGGTTCCTTCCACAAAGGCGTGTTCTCATCATCCTCCTGCTCCAGACCGGTCCAAGTTAGATCGTTCACAGGTGTGAGGCTCATTACTTTTGTCTGAATAAAAGTAATGTGGATTTCAGTCAGTCAAGGTATGGGAAAAGGTAAGTTTCCTTCAAATTACCCATTCTTCCATGGAATCGGCTACAAACATTGTTGATCCCCTCTCTAGACATCTGACTTCGGCCTTATCAAAGCGCATTTTCACGTGCTCAATGAAATAGCACGAATCACGATACTCCACCCAGCCACTAGGACATCTCGAACGAGGTTGTTGCACCTAAAGCAGTTTGTGTAAAGGATAAGGTCCATATGAACACAGAATCAACAAAATTAAAGTGTTGCGGAGTTCCCACACCCTTGGGTGGGCCCAATCATGGTCGCGTCTCGTGTCCACTTTCATCTTCTCCCCAACCCTCACACGACCTCCATGGGTGGTGCGCTATGCCATACCTATATTTCGGTGGGATCATCGATGGATTTTTCGGCCTCCCTAGCGTAAGAATTCTCCACGGGGTTGTGTCTCAAAGAAGCCGTCTTAATCCAGCATTCTTACCTGAGACTGAGGACCTGTTCACGAAAAACGCATTGCCTCGAGATCTTCGAATAAAAGGGATCGTCAGTGTAAAAGCGCAACTACCTAGGGCATCCATAGACTACCCGAAATG